AGTTCACAACGGGTAAAATGAAGATCAAGTTTTTGGAAAATTTTGAAATGTTCAAATTGCTTTAGAGATTAGATATGTATGTTGATAAATTATAATATATATAGTTAATACTAATTAAAACTATATATTATGAGAGAAATTATTTGAATGAGATTCAAATAAAATTACTATGAATATGATTCATATTAAAACTATAGGTTAAAAATAATGTGTATAAGATGTACACTACAACTATAGGTTATGTGAGAAAAATGTTTTTAGAATATGCTTATTTTGATAATGAATAATTAAGGGTTAATTATTTATTTAGTTTATATATATATATATATTAATTTTATTATTATTTATTAATATTAATTTTATTAATAATAAATAAAATAAAACATCCCTGCAAAACTACAGGGTAGTCGGGAGTTATGTGACGTGGGGTAACTCCCCACGTCATGTTTGTTTTTAGTTTTTGCAAAAGTGTAATGCAAAAACAGAACGTTGATTCCAAGAAACTCCAAGGCTTTTTTCTCTTAATCTCTCTCTCTCAATTCTCTCTGAGTTTTCAAATCAAAGCTCCCACAAGCAAGATCGTCATTCCCAGAGGATAGCGGGAAGATCGGTGGTGGTGTTCGTTGGCAACTCCTCGAAGAACAGTTCTTCAAAAAGTGAGTTGTCTTTTTCTTTGCTTTTCCATTTTTGAATTGTGATTTTTGTTCCTGAAAATTTAAGAACAAGATCGTTGTTTCCACTGCGGGATTAACATCCTTTTATGAACATGAAGTAGCTAAATTCCCTTGTCTTATGGATTGATGTAGCCATTGACGTTTATAGATTGATTGTTTGATTTTCTTGATTGAATGCATTTGTTTATTCTATTTATGTTTCTCTTTACTTCATACCTTTAATCTACTGGTCACGAATTAGTCTTAGACTTACAATCTTATGCTCGGAGAGGTGGTTAAGAGTTGAGAACAAAGATTCATAACTGAAGGGGTTTTAAGATCGAGTGATTTAGAATTATTAAAGCTTTTACTTGTCACAAAATTAGATAGGAATATTGGTTTCTTCATTTAGTAGGGAGACTTGGCTTGCGTTGGGAGAGACAGTTGAGATTTGAGAGTTCTTAACCTATAGAATTGATAATCTATTCAATCTTAATTAATTAAATAACTAGCTCATAGATTCAATCGGTGAAATTTATTCCCTAAGATCGTCTTCTCATTGAATTTACATTATTTAATAGTTTATGTTTATTTGTCTTTATCATATTACAATATTCCAATTTGATTTTCTAAATAAATTGGACAAAATTATTAGTAGTAATTGAGTGATCTAGAAATCTAATCCTAATGACGATATTGGTATTGACTTACCCCGTACACTGGCGGTTAGTAGTTTTTGCTACAAATCTTTGTGGTAACCAATTCAATTTACTGTTTTTGGTTTTTTAAAAACAATTTTGAAATTCTATTTAAATAAAAAAAAGTAGTTTTCAAAAACTTGTGTCTATTTTTCAAAATCTAATTTTTTCTTGTAATACTTGAACTTTTTATTTTCTTTCTCATATTTATCTTTAACAAATTTCTTTCTTACTCTAAAATTTTCTTCTTCCTAAATTTCTATCTACAAAATTTGTTTTTCTCTCTCTCAGATTTTCATATTTTAAATATTGATTATTTTTATCTCTCCAACATTTTTCATCTTTATATATATATTTTTTTTCTAACATATCACTCTCATTTCTCTCTCTGAAAATTTAATATTTTCTCGAATTTTTCTATCTTTACAATTTTATTTTTTAAAACTTCCCCCTGAAAGTTATATATTATTTTCTTGTTCAATGATTTTTCACTATAATTTTTATTTATCTTTTTATTTATTTAATTTTCTCTAAAAAAATACATTTCGAATCTTCTTTTTATTTTTACATTTTTTATCACTATAATTTTTCTTTTTCTTTTTCTTTCTAATTTCTTTTTTTTTCTTTAAGGTATATTTTCCTCTCAACTTTATTTTTTTCTCTAAAATTTGTCTATTTTTGTCTTTAAATTTTCTTTCACTAATTTTCTTTTTCTAAATCTCTTTCTTTATCTCTTTAAAACTTCTCTTTAAAAATGTCTAAAGTTATATTTTTGTGTCTCTACATTAGGGATGATAAAAATTTCCTTAAAGTCGGGTTTGTGCTCCAAGAATAGGAATGCATGTATCAAACTCGTCCCCGATTCCATTTTTTTTAATAATTAATATATATTTTATTAACTTATTTACTAAATTGTCTATAAAATATGAAATATTTTTTAAGACAAATTATTTATAATAGTAAATAATAATTATAAAACCAATTAATAAATATTTATCACACTTTCTAATTATAAAATAATTAAAATTAATTACAAAACCAGTAATTTTTCCATTGATTATCCCCATCCCCAAATAAAGATTCTTTTAACCTAGTTCTTGAATCCCACACCAAAGAGCGAGGTGGAGATGGTGAACTAAAAATTTTCATGAGCAGAATGGAAGAGTGGAAGAGTGTACTTTGACTCCCACCCTCCTACATTATTGTCATCTATACTCCAGATAGAATTTTCAATCTAATATATATTTCCAATTTTCTAAATGTTTTAAAACAGAAAACTAAAAATTGTTATCAAACATGTTTTGTTTTTTTTTTAAAAAACAAATAATAAAAAATAGTTATCAAATATATATGGTTTTTTTTAAAAAAACAGAAAACAGAAAAACCAAAAACAAAAAATTAAAAAAATTGTTATCAAAGGGGCGGTAAAATTTTAACCTTTCATGGTCATCTAAGTCAAACCTCTTTTGTAAGTACGATATCTCTACCATTTCTATCAATTAGAATGCTTTTCTCTAGCCTCCTTTTTGTTTTTTTTATTTTATTTTAATGTTTATCATATACCTTTTTTATTAAATTAAATGGTTTCGATTTCTTTTAAAAAAATAAAAATAAATAAAAAAGATAACTTTTGATCAAAGATAAAAGATAGAATATATTTCAGAGTATTGTAATATTTGATGATAAATGTAAATTTTTCTCAAATGTTTTCAATAATCTTTGATAAAATAAAAAAATGTGAATAGTTTAAAAATATTTTTTAATTACTTTTGATAAAATACAATATATTTCTCAAAAGTTTATAACAGTTTTTGATAAATATATCATTTTTTTAAAAAACTTTTAATAACTTCGATGAAATGTGGTCAAAATAGCTCAAATCTTTTTAGCACAAGTCAAGATGTACAATAGGGATGAACAAATAAATACGAAAAATAAAGGTCCGTCTAATCACTATTTTGTTTTTAAATTTTGGTTTTTGGTTTTTAGTTTTTATTAAATTTCTTTTAATAACTAATTCAATTTTCTATTTTTTTTCAATAATTATTTTGAAATTTTTTGTAAATTAAAAAAAATAGTTTTCAAAAATAGATTTATGTTTTCCAAATCTGATTTTTTCTGGTGATATTCAACTTTTTTTCCTCATATTTATCTCTAAAAAAATTTCTTTTACTAATTAATTAAATTTTTTTCTTTCTAATTTTCTCTATACAAAATTTTTTCTTTGTAAAATTTTCATATTTTGAATTTTTATTATTATTTATCTCTCTAAATTTTTCATTTTTCATTTTTATTACTTTTAACAATTGAGTTTAATTTCTCTCTAAAAATTTAATATTTTTTTATACTTTTTTTCCTCTAAAATTTCATAACTTTATTTCATAACTTTTCTTTCTCTTCTTAATCTATGTTTTATTCTAAAAATTATATATTCTTTTCTCGTTCAATTTTCTTTCTCTTTCTCTGTAACTTTTATTTATCGAGAGTATAATTTTTCTCTTTCTTTTTAATTTCTTTTTTTTTCTTTACATATCTTTTCGTCTCTATTTTACTTTTTTTCTTTAAAATGTTTCTCTTTTTGTTTTTAACTTTTCTTTGAATAATTTTTTTAAAAATCTTTTTATTTATCTTTCCAAAATTTATCTTCCAAAAGTTTATTTACTTCCATCTAAATTTGTATTTTCATGTTTTTATATCAAGGATGACAAAAATTTCCGTAGAGTCGGACCCCAAAAATAGGAAATGCACGTCCCAACCCCGACCTCGTTCCCAATTCAATTTTTAAATTTCTTATTAATATATATTTATTACACTTTTCTATTTTTTAAATTCTAAAATAATTAAAAACAATTATAAAACCAATAATTTTTCTGGAGAATATCTCTAAGACCAAAGAAGGAGCTGGAAATAGGGATTAAAAATTTTCAAAAGCATGAGAATGGGTAAGACATCTTCAATCGCAACTACATCATTGTTATCTCTACCCTACCTAGAATTTTTCCTCTTATTTTCAATTTTCTAACTTTTTAAAAACAGAAAACTAAAAATGTTACCAAACATGTTTGGACGTCTGTTTTTCAAAAACAGGAAACAAAAATATTATGAACAGGTCTAACTAAATCAATGTCAGTTGATCAATTGATACGTATATATTTGGTAGGGTCAATTTTTAAAATGTAACTCATCTGTGGATCGAAGTAGTGTCATTCATCGATTATTAATATATATTTTTTTAATAGAACGATCCTTCCACTCTCGTGAATCACATGAGGGAGAGGGAGAGGGAGAGAAATTAAATAAAATGAATCTTTTTTTCTTGAGTACAAAAATGAATCACGTTGAACAAACTAAAATATTTAATTTTCCTCGAAAAAAAATAAACTAAAATATTTAATTAAAATTTTGTATTGGAGAGAGGAAAATTTTGTCTCACTCTTGGAATATCTTAGGTTTGTATTACGTTGTTATGGTAGATAATATTTTAAATAAATCACGTGAGGGGAGACAGAGAGGACACAACACTCTTCAATCACGTGAAACTTACAAAATCTCAAATTAAATATATGTATATATATATATATATTTTAATAATTGTTTACACATCATTTTTTAAATTCATACGCCATTCTCATCCCAAACCTCAAGAACCCAGAAAAGTTTCAGCCCCAAAGCCCTTCAAAATGTCTCTCTCTATGCCCAAAACAAGGAGACCTGCCTCTTTCACACTATAAATACAAGCTTTCATCCATTGCCAAAACACAAAAACCAAACATGAAGTCTCCAATTTCCTCCTTAGCTTATATTTTTGTTGTCTTGTCCTTTTCATGGGTAGCTTCTGCTTACAACCACGAAGATTTTCTTCATTGTCTTTCTTTTCATTTTCCCAACGACTCTTCAATTTCAAAGATTATTTACACTCCAACCGATCCTTTATATTTTTCAGTTTTGAACTTCTCGATTCAGAATCTAAGATTCTTGGGTGGCAAAACTTCAAAGCCTCAAGTAATCGTGACGCCGTTGCAAGCTTCCCACATTCAAGCATCCATCATTTGTGCAAAAAAGAACGGCTTCCAGATACGAATACGAAGTGGTGGCCATGACTACGAGGGTCTTTCCTATGTCTCCGATGTTCCTTTTGTCGTCGTTGATATGATAAACCTTCGGTCGATTGACGTTGATGTGGAAAAAAGAGTAGCATGGGTGGAATCTGGAGCCACCATTGGCGAACTTTACTACAGAATTGCAGAAAAAAGCAAAACTCTAGCGTTTCCAGCTGGGCTTTCCTCGACAGTTGGCGTTGGTGGGCACTTTAGCGGTGGTGGTTATGGTTCATTGATACGAAAATTTGGCCTTGCTGCCGATAATGTGATTGACGCTTACTTCATTGATGTCAATGGTAAGCTCCATGATAGAGAATCGATGGGGGAGGATTTGTTTTGGGCCATTAGAGGAGGAGGAGCAAGTTTTGGAATTATTCTTTCATGGAAAGTAAAGCTTGTCTCAGTTCCACCAATGGTGACTATTTTCAAAATCACAAGAAACTTGGAACAAAATGCCACCGATCTAGTCCACCAATGGCAATACGTGGCTAACAAACAAGATGACAGACTTATCATCAGGATCATATTAAATGCCACAAACAAAAACAATCATCAAAATGGTAAAAGAATAGTATTGCAAGCAGCTTTCAAAGGCTTCTTCCTTGGAAAGGTCGAAGAACTTCTTCCCATCATGCAAAATACTTTCCCTGAACTAGGATTGAGGAAAGAAGATGGTATAGAAATGAGTTGGATTGAATCCATTATCTATTTTGCCAAATTGCCTAAAGGACAAGCAAGTGCTCTTCTCGACAGGAGTTTGGCTCTCAAAGGCACCTACAAAGGAAAATGTGACTATGTAAATGAGCCAATCCCCAAAGCTGGACTCGAGGGTATATGGGAATTGTTAAATGAAAAAGATCTTGATTTTGCACAACTGGATCTCATCCCTTACGGTGGAAGAATGGATGAGATTTCTGAATCAGAGATTCCCTTTCCGCATAGAGCTGGAAATATTTACAAGATTCATTATACTGTGGCTTATAGTGGAGATGCTGAACAAAGACATATAGGTTGGATCCGTAAGTTTTACAATTACTTGACTCCTTTCGTTTCAAAGAATCCGAGGGCTACGTATCTCAATTATCGAGACCTAGACATCGGAATGAACAACAAAAATGGGTGCACCAGCTATGAAAAAGCAAGCGTATGGGGACTTAAATACTTCAAAGGTAATTTTAAGAGGTTGGTGAGAGTAAAAATTAAGGTTGATCCTACTAATTTCTTTAGGAACGAGCAAAGCATTCCTTCTTTTTTAACATGGTGGAAGAAGGAAGGACATGAGATGTCTTAAGATATGCTTAGATGAAAGCCCGACCCGTTAAATGGATGTATACTGAGATCAGAACGATGGGCTTTTATACTTTGGTTTTTAGTTTATGCCTTAGAAAATTTGCTATTTTTGCATTAAATAAATATTTCCTAGTTTGGTTCTTGAACTTTTTTTTATATTAATTTTGTTTAACTTGGATTTTTTCCATCTAAACTTGTTTTATTTTAGTAGTCTTTTTCTATGAAATTCACAAATATGATAGAATCTTTAACATCTCTTACAGAATAGAGATACATTAAATTATTAACTACTGAATTATATACATGCTTATATTTCCTCACATATATATACAACCTCATGTTTAATGACATAGATATTGATTTGTTATCAAGGTTGTAGATCCTGCATCCGAACTTATATATTGTAATTTCCTCCCAATTTAATATTGATTTCAACTTGTTGGACCTCGGTCATAGTATTGTTCAACTCAAGCAACGAGCTCCATTATATGATCTAGCAGCATAAGTCACACGACATCGATTTTAGAAAATAAATAAGAAAAAAATCTTCAATGACGATGAAAGGTCATAGTGTTGCTCAACTCAAGTAACGAACTCCATTATATGATCAGCAGTATAAGTCACACGACATCAATTTTAGAAAATAAATAAGAAAAAAAATCTTCAATGACGGGGTTGAAGTTTTTGCATTATTTCTGTTTTTGTTTTTCCCTCCCAAAATACCAATATATAATATAATATAGTGAGAGCTTTCAAAGCATAATACAGCCATGAACTCTTTTAAAAAATTTTTTGCATTGTTTGGGCTGCCTTTGTTCTTCTGTCTTTTGTCTCTAATTCTCCGTATGGTCACTTCATTTCTAAAGTGATGACATGTACGAATCGTACTGATACGTGTCTCCTTCAAAATGGGTGTAAACTTGTCATCTCTTAACTTTTGGTGATGTAAAGTACAAAGTACGAACTACACATATTAATTTAAAATTTTGTTTTCTTTTGTTTTTTCTTCTATTTGAATTTAACCAGTATTTTAAACGTCGATGTTACTGGAAATGTCGAGGTCTCAATTTCATAGAAATATCGAAAATCGATAAACTGTCGATGTCGATGGATTGTAAAAGCTAGAAAAATTAAAAAATCGTAAAAAAACATTTTAATTAACAAATAAACATTTTCCCATTTCTAAATTAGTTACAAATAATTAATATATATATATTAATTAGTGACATTGTATTGATATTTTTCATATTATGTTGATTTTCTTGTACTATGATGGAAATATCGATTCACCTCTCATGTCGATGACGAACCCATGAAAATATGGATATGTTGATGGAAATGTCGACGTATCGACGAATATTTAGAACCATGAATTTAATATGGGAAGATATTCCAATCTCTAACTTTTGTTCGAAAATATACATATATATATATACACACACGTTTCTTCTTATCTCTCTAAATTTTTATTTTCATGTTACTATATTAGCGATGACAAAAATTACGTAGAGTCTCCAAGTACGAAAATATATTTTCTACCATGCCTCGTCCCTGTTTCATTTTCTAAAATAAATTGATATATTTTATTCACTATTTTACTAAATTATGTATAAAATATTATATATTTTTTAAAACTAACTATTTATACTAGTAAATAATAAATTTTCAGCTAAGTTTATCTCGATAGTTGATACATCTCTTTGAAAAAAAATTCATGGGTTACAATCTTTCACTCCACTTATTGTACTTAAAAAAAAGTTTTTTTTTTTAGTAAAATAGATATAATTTATGTAGATTTTTATTATTCTTTTTGAGAACCGAGATATTCGTGGTGAAAAGTAGTAGTTTAATAATCAATTTTAATAAAACCCACTTGAGTAGTATCCATTTTATATATAATATATAGTAAAAGAATTTATTGTAGGGTACGTAATGATTACAAATATTCGTGAGTATTGTTTTATGTGACAAACAAAACACGGATTGTAAACTTTCCTAAATAAATTAATTTTTTTTATTACATATTATATATACAATTCAGTCGGTTTTATGAGTGTGATAATGGACTGTGTAATGGGGTTTTGTATTGCCCCTCTACTTTTAAGACTTGCGCTTAGAATTTTTTTTTTTCTCGCTTATAAAATAAGCCATCGTCTCTGTTATTGAATTTTTTTTTTTCACGTATAAAATTCCTTTGCCTAAACGGCATTCTCAAGATTTTCTTAATATTTTTTTAAAAACAAAATTCTAATTAAATTTAACTAAAAAAATCTATCAAAATCTTAAAACAAACCAATACATCTCTTTTTAAGATTTTGTTTTTAAATAAAATCTAACCACCTATTTAAAAACAAAATCTTAAAATAAATTAATTTAACTAATTAAGCATTAAAATTTTAAATTAAATTTATCATTAAAAAATTTAGATACAATGATACCTCCTCATAAATATTAAAAATTGTTACGTAGAGATTTAGAACTCAATTCTAAATGTCATAAGCAGAAAATCAATTTTTTATCTGCATATCAAAGTGGCTAATGAATGAGAGGTTAGTAAAGGAAAAATAAGTTACGTAGTGATTGCTAAATTGGAGATTGACTCAACACTATTGGGTTGCGTCGTGGAACAAGCAGATCATTTTTCTGGAATCTAACGTACCACCATCTCATCTAATTTTTAAAAAATTAGAGTTAGTTTAAAATTTAAATACTCGATAACAATTAGTCAAGATTTTGTTAAATTTTTTATACTTAAATTTAAATCAAGTTTTAAGTTTGTTCTTTTAAAATAATTTTTATAAGATATGTTTTTATAGTATTTTTTTTTCTTTTAGATTTTGTTAGATTTTTTTAATAGTTGTTTAATTTAAAGCTTGTTGGTTTGTTTTAAGATTTGGTTACCTCTTTTAGTTAAATTTGATTTGATTTTTGTTTTTAAAAAATATTAAGAAAATTTTGATAAAGTAATTTAAAAAAAAAACAATTACAAGAGACGAGGACCTACCATAAGTGACCAAAATGGAGAGGTGGTAGTCTCTCCAAAAGACGACCTGCTGTGAAATAAAAAAGAAAAAATACACAATTTAGAAACAACAACTCCTGAATTTAAAAAATAAAAATTGTGGTACAAGAGACGTATAACTGCGACCTTATGGGTAAAGGGTCAATCACCTATTTTTCAAATAGAAATAGTGTAGTGAATAGTATAGTTTTAGAATAAATTTAATATTAAGCAATATTACAAAAAAAAAAAGCAGTGCGGCGGCGGCGAATCCATGGAAGTAGGCAATTGCTAGACAGATCAGATGGACCAATAATTCTTAATTTAACTTAACAGATGGTGAAGAATCCATATTGGCAAAACCACCAGGATTCACGCGAACATAAAATACCTAATAAAAATTTATAAGATAAATGAGTCAATCCTCTTGTTGCTAATTTCAAAATATGCTCGTGTTGACAATATTGTATAATTTATAATATATTATGTTCTACATGTTTTAATTTTAACTGTTTTAGTTCATAGTTCGTATCATTGTATGTTGACGAATTTTATTTGTCAATTAAAATGTACCATCCGTTTTTATTGATGAGTTTTAATCGTCATTAGAGCATGAAATATTATGGTTATTGTTCATCAACTATACCACCTTTACTTGACGACTATCGATATTTTCAAACTTTTTTTTTTTGGCGATTTTTAACTGTCAATAAAAGGGAAATACATTGATGGGCAATAATCATCTATATATATATCTGTGTGTGTAGTGTTTTTTGGTACATTATAATTGATCAATTGAGAATGAAACTAAAAAGGGATATATAAATTTATTTATAATATTTCTTAGCCCTAATTTTGGGTTGACAGATCTTTAAACACTCATAAAATTAGCTATGTCAAGTTTTCACCAAACACTATATTCGCTTGAGAAGGTGGGTATGCTTTGCTCGTGTCTAAAAAAATCACTAGGATCAACCCTAGTTTTAACTTGTACGAGTCGGTTGAAATTCTTTCCAAAATACTTCAACCCCCAAACTTTAGCTCGCTCGTAGTTTGTCTTTTCATACTCGTTGTTTCTTCCAATGTCAAGATCTCTGTAATTGACATACGCAGCTCTCGGCGATTTTGTGACATAAGGAGCCATATAATCATAAATCTCTCGCACCCAATTTAAGTGTCTTTTCTCTGCTTTGGCACTTTGTTCTTCCCACTTGACGATATAACCCATTTTGTACATGTTTTCAGCTCTATGTGGATAAGGAGTTTCTGACTCGGAAAACTCACTCATTCTCCCCCCGTATGGAACAAACATAACTTGTGCTAGTTCTATATCTTGAGTGTTTAATCTTTCCCATATGCCCTTGAATATAGCCTCAGAAATGGGCTCCTTGACATAGTCAGATTTGATTTTGGTACTTATGTTGACGAGAGGTCTTCTATAGAGCAAAGTTTCAAGGGATTCTCCAGCTGAAAACCCAGCTGTGATGAGGGTCGATTCGATCCAACTCGTTTCTATGCAATCTTCTTTTGTCAAACCTAATTCGGGAAAAGTTGTGTTCACGATTGCCACAAGCTCATCTACCTTTCCAAGAAAATAAGTGGGAAATGAAGCTACTGGGTTTGTTTTGCCTCCTTGTTGTGTTAAAATATGCCCACCTATCATAAAAAATTGAGTTCAAATCTTCATATATATTTTCCATAATCAATATGATATATTGCAATAGGATTTTACATGGCAAACCCCATTTTAATAATTTAGATTTATGAATTCGTCAACTTGATTGTGTTTTGGTTTCTAAAACTTTAGATTTGTTTTTTCCAAACAAGTCTCTAAATTTGGCATCAAAGGTAATTTTAGTTTTTTCTGGGTAAATTATTTAATTTGAAAGAAACCTAATATAGGTAAGTCTTTTTTGTTAAAAAAAATATTAAAACTAATAATAATATGGAAGGTAAAAGCCAAATGATTAAGGTATTATAGTGAGATATATATATAAATATATATATAAATTGAAGGCTTTACCCCAAAATTTTTAATGTTGTATTAATATAAAAACGAAGTAAAACAAATTATGAGTTTTAAAAAACATGTTTGATTTTCTTAAGCAAAGTTAATAGCAAGAATTAAAATAGTCTTTTTAACAAAATTCAACAACTAACACAAAAGATTTCAAAATTTAAGCTCTAATAACATGAACAGGATATAAAATATATATTTTTAACTTTTAGTTTCATCGAACTAATTAATGTACTAAAAAAAAAGTTTCATCCAACTAAACCTAAATCTAAATAAATAATGAAATTAATACCCTCTCTCCTTGCTAATTAAGCTAAGAAAATGGACAAATAAATAATTTAAAATCCAACCAATAAATTCTCCATGTCCGATCGCAACCGAATCAAACAATAAAAAATTCAATTTAAAAAATATCAAACTTAAATACCATAAAAATCCTATTAAGAACTGTCAAATTCATGTTATATTTGAAGAGAAAAAAAAGAAAAGTGATGGCATTCTTTCAAAATACTACCTGATTTGTGCATCAACACAAAAGTACCCAATCGTAGATTAAAATGTTTACAAAATGGCAACTAAACTTAGCAAAATCTATGTTTTCGCAACTTGTCAAAGTTTAAGGTTTACTTTCGTAACATTAAAATTCAAAGTTAAACGAAAAAACGAAAAAAAAAAATTGTAGAGTTAAAAGGGATAAAGGAGCAAGGTTAATTCAATTACAGGTAATAAGTCATTCAATTTCAACTTTGTGGCTAATAAATTCATAATTTTTTAAAGTGTTTAATAATCCCTTGAAGTTTTATAGTCTCTAAAAAATTTATGTCTAATCAATTTAAATTTTCAATTTTATATCAATTAGACCTTCACCTATATTACTTGTAATTTATTTAAAATTGAAAGTTTATATGACTAAATAGCTACAAAGTTTAGTTTGTATATGATAGATTCATTAATTTAAAAAATATCAAAGGAGTGGAAAACTTATTTGATACAAAACTAACCTTGAGAACCTATTCAAGTCTAAAAAATTATGGATAAGTTAAACACAAACCTGAAATTAGGGCGTTTGAAAATCATTTTATTTTCTGTTTTTGATTTTTAGTTTTTGAAAAACAAATTGTTTGATAATCAATTCAATTTTCTATCCTTTGTTTTTCAAAAAGATTTTGAAATCTATAAATTTTAAAAACAAAAAAAAGTAGTATTCATCTCTAACAATTTTATTTCTCACTCTATTTTTTCCATAAATTTCTCTCTAAAATTTTAATATTTTAAATATTTATTATTATTTATCTCTCTTCAAATTTATGTATTTTTTTACGGATCATTCTGGCCGCTCTGTCTAAAAATGATATTTTTCCCAAACTTTTCTCTCTAAAACTTCGATTTTATAATTTTTTCCTTCCTAATCTATTTTCCCTCTAAAATTTTATTTTTCTGGTAAAATTATATTATCTTTTCTGGTCAACTTTGTTTCACTATAAATTTTATTTTTCTTTGGATTAATTTATTTTTTCTAAAAAATATATTGCCAATTAATTTGTTTTTATCTCTAATTTTTTTTCTCACCATAATTTTTCTTTCTATATTTTCCTCTCAATTTTACTCTTATTCTCTAAATTTTTTCTCTTTTTGTTCTTTATTTCCTTTTACTATTTTTTTATCTCTCTAAAATTTATCTTTCATAAATTTATTCCACCTCTCTAAACTTTTATTTTCATGTCTATACATTAGAGATACAAAAATTCCCCCAGGTTTGGGTGTCTGCTCCAAAAATAGGAAATGCATGTCCTACCCCTGTCTCCGATTCAATTTTTAAATAATTAATAATTTTATTGACATATTTACCAAATTGTGAATAAAATATTAAATATTTTTTAAAACTAATTATTTATACTAGTAAATAATAATTCTAAAAATAATTAATATACATTTATTCTTTTTTTAATTCTAAAAATAATTAAAATTAATTATAAAACCGGTAATTTTTCCCACGAATATCCCATCCCAAATAAGAATATTCTTTAACCCTGTATGTCGATTCCCCGACCGAAAAACAAGGTGGAGATGGGGACTAAAGTTTTTAACGAGCATCAGAATAGGAGAGGACATCCTAATTCCCGCCCCGCACCATTGGCACTCTATTTTACCTAGAATTTTCTCTCTAATATATATTTTCAATTTTCTAACTTTTAAAAAACAGAAAGTTAAAAATGGTCGGTAGGTTTCAGTTTTTAAAAAACAAAAAACAATTATCAAACATATATTGTTTTTATTTTTAAAAACCAACACAAAACTAAAAAGAGAAAATCAAAAATAGAAAAACCAAAAATCAAAAAGAGAAATGGTGGCTAAACTTTTAACTTTTAGTTTAATAAATAAATAATAAACAATACCAGTCAAACTGATCCCCAGCAATAGATTGTCCTCCAATTTGTGAGCCACGTATTGCCACCGATGGATTAACTTGACTCCATCTCTGTCCAAAGTTCTGTTAACTGTGCAAGTTGTTAGAGTCGTCGGAACCGGAACCAGCCTCAACTTCCAAGCCACCACGATTCCGAAGCTCCCTCCACCGCCACCTCTAATGGTCCAAAACAGATCATCTTCCATCGATTCTCGATTAAGAATCCTCCCATTAGCATCAACCAAGTGAGCGTCGATCACGTGATCAGCAGCAAGACCATATTTTCTAATCAAATACCCGTATCCACCGCCACTCAAGTGCCCACCAACCCCCACAGTTGGACAAGAACCTGCCGGAAAAGCCAGGGTTTGACTTTTTTGGGCAATTCTGTAATAAAGTTCACCTAGAGTTGCACCGGACTGAACCCATGCCGTGCTGTTTTTGGCGTCGATTGTGATGGATCTGAGATGAATTAGATCGAGGACAATGAAAGGGAGGTGGGAGACATAAGAAAGACCCTCGAAGTCATGGCCGCCGCTTCGAGTTCGGATTTGTAGGCCATGAGTTTTGGAGCAAATGACGGCTGCCTGAATGTGGGAAATATGTGAGGGTGCTATAACTAGGAGTGGCTTTGGAGTTTCAGCGGTCGAGAATCTGAGGTTTTGGATGGAGAAATTCAAAATAGAAGAGTAGGAGAAGTTGGCAGGAGTGTAAATGAATTTGGAAATAGAGTTATTACTTGGAGAGTGACGAGTGAGACATTGAAGGAAACCTTCATGTTTGTGAGCAGAAGCTGCCCAAAATAGAGACGAAGATAGAACAATACTACAGGCAAAAGCAAAAGCAAGAGGGTTTAGTGGAAAAGACTTCATGGCTGAGTAAACTTAGGAGATTTTTGTGTATTGAAAACACCACTATTTATGGTGCCTCTTCAATGAAGCAACATGTCTCCAACGAGGAGGATCTTTTTAAGATGTGATTTGTTTTTAGTAAATAAAAAATGTTGATTAGATTTTTTTTTTAATTTTAAATGCAATATAAATAAATTAATAATCATAAATCACAAAAAGGAACTCCTTATTGGATTCAAATCAAGTTTCAAAATTCGGATTTGGCACTCGGTGACCTGACATGTGACACATAACATTATTTTTAGTTGATTTCAAATGAGTTTAAAGAAAACTACATCTGGTATAGGTGATATCTATCAAAAAAATTTTTTTAACTTTCTGTAATTATATTATTCCAGTATTAAAATTCCTTTTATTTTGACATGATATTGGCTGATTTATGTATCTATTTGTTCATACATTAGTATGTACATCACGCTTTAGCTCACGTGAGTCCAAATTAATCACTAACGTATATCAAAAACTCTCCATCAAACAATAATACTCACACCAACAAAAAATAAAAAATAATAATAAATAAATAAATAAGGGCAAAAAATACTTTAGATATAAAAAGTGCAAGTTTTTTACTTCTGCTACATTCACCTATTAATTTTAACGGAAAAATAAATCGATAAAAACTCTTAAAACTCGGTAGTTTTAATAAAAATCAAGCATATCACAAAATTAAATTTGATCAATGCACGTGAATCTCTCTAACACTCACAAATTTCAAGAAATGGTACAGTTATGTGTCATGAAGTAAAATTAATAAAGTCATATCAAACTAATTAAAAAATTAATATAATTTTTATTTAAACAACCATTTGTTAATATAAAAATCTTACTGAATTTTATTGTTATAACATTTAATAATAATGAAATTGACTTTAACAATTTTATTGATGTTTAGGCAGCCGGATCAAGGTCTTTTATGAAGGTGAACGATGGTTGATGTGTTAAGGACAATGGTATGATATCGTTCGATTTGGACATAGCTTTTACGGTGTTACTTTTAGTTTCACTCAAAAAAATCTTATACAAGCGGAGAAAATTATCTTTATCTTATATACTATGGATCACTCCCTTTCCTTTGGTCAATACGATACTTTGTTAAAGATAATATAAGGTTATACAAATATATTAGAAAAATCGAACCGACCGATTGAATCAAAAGTAGTAGGTCAATTTTGAACTTACGTGATTTTACATTAATATTCATAGAAAACCAACCTACCGATCTGCCCGCATTTAAAACAAAATTGTAAATAAGCTGGAAAGCCAACTACATCGCCTTGGGAAAACCAACATTTATTATGCGTTGGGTTTTCACCAAATGAGTTTCTTTTTTTTTTTTAATTTATTTTTTCGTTTTTTAATTTCTAATTTCCTCATTTCTATTCTCTCTTCCCAAAATATTTTTTTCTTTCCCTCTTATTTTCTTTATTTGCTTTTCCACCCCGTTTTGCCTCTCACTCCTCCCTCCCACATGTTATCTCCCTCTTATGTGTCCTTCCTCTCTTTTGTTGGGATAATGAAGCCAAAATAGATAATCCATGTCCTACGAAGGAAACGATTGTCAACATTACTATCCATGCCTACAAGAAATAGGATATTATTGTCTTATAAGGATTTCAATATTGATTTTTCTATAAGGATTGGATATTTGATCTCTTATAAATAGAACCCTTTTATTAAGGTTTCATTTATACAGAACCCAATTAAGAGATACTTGAGTGGTTGTGGGCAGTGTGTGAAAAGAAGTTTGTATGTCGTGGATTTAGTGAAGGTATTTTCAATTGTGTAATCCTAGGTAACCATTGTTATGGTATATAGAAGTAAGATAGTAATATCTTGGAAYGAGATCTCCATTGTAATATTCTCAACCATAGTTGAACCTGTTTTTTCACAGAATACTGGACGTAGTCTCAAGATAGAGGCGAACCAATATAATTCGGTGGTGTTAAGCTTTTCTATTCCTATTTCTTATTCCTTTGTTATTGTTACTTACTTATTTGCTTTTAGCATGTGGAAGAGGAAAGTCAAATAGTTTCTGTTTGAACAACTTACGAGGATCAATTTATCCATTCTTTTTTCCAACATCTTCATCTTTAAAAATAAAAAATAAAGAGAAAAATCGGTTTAAATCGAAATCGACTGACATTTCAATCGGTCGATCAAAATGAAGCAAAAAGAACGGCTGGTTTCTATTTTTGGAAACCGACCAGTTCCAATGTCAGTTTCAGTGCCAAACCGACACCGAGGGACCAATATAGAAATCTAGATGAGACTAACTGAAGATGAGAAAGGAAAACTTTTTGATATGGTCGATGGGACAATGCACGAGGTAAATAAACTAGTTTCAAGACAGGTCATCAAAAGAAAAGAAAACTTTTATTTTCATTCACTTCAAATAAATGTGGTGACTATAATATTGAAATATACTTGTGGTTATGGATCATCGTTCGTGGATCATGTTCCCTGTTAAATATTGAATCAATTTTTTTTTCGTGAAAGAATATGGAGTATGATTAATGAAAGCATGATCTTTCTAATAACTCATTTCTTATCCATGATACATGAACAATATATTTAAATCCAGTTGTGTCTCACATTGTATTTAATTAACAAAAAATATCAAGTTGTTATCGTTTTTCTCTTTTTTTAATAAAGAAAAATAGAATTGCATGACATCTATAAATTCATAAATGACAAAACAATATTTTTATTTGTGTTTTGGAATAAATTTGAAATGAAAATTGTTGATGTAGAAATTTGGCCTCTTGGGATTCTGTCAAACTCGCACCAGAGACCTACAAAACAGAATAGCACTAAAGATCGGTGTAACTATTACCACACATGCTCCGATGCTTAAGTCATAATCGGAGTACTTGAGTATGGCGAGTAATATTTTAGTGTAGCAAATAGTAGAGACTTGTAACGTACCTTATGAGTATTTACCTAGGTAAAATCAAGCCAGGATATCTTCTAGAGATTTTCTCATCCATAACATAAGTAAAAAACAAAAAAACTATTTTTGTTGTTTCCAAAATTTCTATACAATTTTGAGAATGCATTTCTAATAAAACCAGAAACACAAATAATTATCAAATACTTAGATTTATTAGTGAAAGTCGAAACCATAAATAAAGAATGATTAACCTTACAAAAGAACTCAAGGTCCCTAAAAAAATGGAGGGTCATGATCCTCAAATCATGGGAAATGAAATCTGGGACAGCCTACTTGTTTGTATAGCTAGCTGTCATGGGCAGATCGTAATATCATGATTATTATTATTATTATTATTTTACCAACCATATCATAGTCAGTCAAAACAAACATAACTTAGCATTAGTTGACATATATCTTAAATTGAGAGAGTGTGAGTTCGACTCACCATCCCATATGTTATACTAAAATAAACGACGTCATGGTTATGATTTATGACAAAACTTTTATTTTTTTATTTTTACCACAACATCATAGTTATTATTTATGACAACTTTTATTTTATTTTTTGACCAACAACATCATAGTTATTATTTATGATAAAACTTGGGAGATAATTGAACGACTATGCATATCAATATAAAATTGCTAAGAGGCCAAGAGTTTTTTTTAGGAGCTAGTTTAACGAAGTCGTAGGTTCCTTATCGAATGTCATTGTAGATTCCGAGCCAAACCAAATTCGATAGTAGCCTAATTATATTTCTTTGCTTCATAGTTAATGTTGATTCCAATGAATATCAAATGAAATAATCGAAAGACCACTAATCATTTTTGCATTCGAAAGAAGTAATTAATTGAGCAGTTGACAGATGATCCAGGGGTTCGATTCTGTAGGAACCTTTTATCTTCGAATTTCAAAAAGAATTAGCAACCCCCATATTTAACGTTTGAACCATGATATGAAATGAGTTCCATAAAATAAGAATATTGATCCAAATTTGTAAATAACTAAAGTACTAATAAAATAAATAGTAATAGATAAAACAAGCGGTATGCACATAATATGTGGGTGGCTAACCCAAGGTACTATCTTATTATGAGTAATTATATTATTATGCGTAGTATCTTATTGGACAACAACTATGTCTATGTTCCTTTGCGTGGCCATGGTAAAATTCCCAAACTTAGTTAAAAATAAAAAACACTTGGGGGGTGTTTGGGGCAAGGAGTTGTTAAGTCTCCACTTCCTTAATTTGGAGTTGTTTAATTTTGACGATTAATAAGTTTGGAGTTGTTTAGTTTGTGTTTGGGGTGCAGAGTTGTTAAATTTGGATTTCTAAAGTCTGTGTTTGGGGCAAAGATTTAATAAGTCTAGAGTTGTATAACTGGATTTTTTTTTACTGATTTTTTGCTACAATTTTACTATATTATACAATTATAGTTAGATTCCAATGTTTTTTTTTTCAAATTCATGAATTATAAAATTGAGATTTTTGACAAGTTAATTTGTTTTTTTTTTTAATATTTCAAATGAAAACCGCGACACTTTTATTTAATATTTTAAAAGAAAAATGTTGGTTTTTTGGTCCTTAATCTCGGATAATTAATTTAATTAATTAATTTTTTGATCATAAACAAACACATTTAGTATTAATTGTTTTTGGTGTGTAAGAATTATTGTTATAAAACATAAATTTATTATAAGCTTCAATCATATTATATGATTTATTGTAATAAATATTTTGTTATTTGACAATTTTAGACTTTAGCTTAGAGTTTGATACAATGATTCCAACAACATTTGAATCGTCCAAATCGGAGTTCAAACGAAGAAATTATGACAAAAACAAATTGAAAGGAAAAATACCAAGAAGGACTTGGCGACTAAATCAATTAAGCGGACAAGTGAAATAGTGACGAAATGTATTTACTTAAAAAAATAGAGAAAGAAAAAGAAAAAAAAATGGAGAGAGAGAGACAAAGTTACTCTTAGGTAACTTGTTAAAGAAAAAAATAATTAAAAAAAAAAAGA